TATTTTGTAGTCCGACATAACACCAAACATAGGTCTTCACTATTTTTACAATCCAGCTTCTTAGTCCGACGCAGCACCAAACGTAGGTCAGTACTTAATCCAGCTTAGTCCAATCCAAGCCCATCCAAGATAGTCCCAGGATTTAGTCCAGTCCATAACAATCCGCCGTACCAAACGACCCCGTAGTGTAGTATCATAACATGTTTATTTTAAAAAAAAGAGAAAGGAAAAAGCCCATGGGCTTCATATATATGCAAGTTGGATAGAACATCCCAAACTTGATAATTCCTTGACTGAAAACAAAATAAGATAATAAACCAATCTCAAACAATATCAAATTGCTGCACAAATAATGAAAAGCTCAAATGTAAGAAGGAATTGTGAGTGCTCAAAATTCCAAATCACATAGTAGTTTATTCATTTATTTCATTTAATCCTTCTAAGTTCATTCATTTATTTCATTTAATCCTTCTAAGTTCTAACCACTGACCACTCACATAATGCAGAAGATCAAAAAGCCCAAAATACAAAACCCTGTTACATGTTATTGCAAAATCTCAGTGTACAGCCTTCTCAAGCTTCTTCAATCTCTATATCAACTGATCAAGGCATTGGAAGAGAAATCTCACTTTTCCTTATCATTTCAGGGAGCTTTCGACATCTATCACGAAACGGTACTTCACATCTCTCTTTATCAGCCTCTCAAGAGCTTCATTTACGTACTGAATTGGAACTATTTCTATGTTTGGATATATCTTGTGAGCAGCACAGAAGTCTAGCATTTCCTGTGTCTGCTTCGTACCGCCCGTTCCGCTACCAGAAATCGACTTCATACCTGGAAAATCGTCAGTTGAATCCGGTTCATTGAACTGGCAAATTTTGTAGCCTAGGATGAATAAAAACTCTTGAGTATTGAAATTGCTAAACTTACCCAGGAGCAGGCTTAGAGGACTCAATTTGACTTCACTTGGAGCCCCAACCAAGACAAGAACACCAGCAGTCTTCAACAGGGACATGTATGGATCAAATGGATGATCACCAGATGCTGTGTCAATAATGAAGTCAAGTGACTTTGCCAGGGCCTGCATAAATGGTAAAATCAGGGAAACGTGTGGAGCTTTAGAAAAATGTGTCATGTACAACTTTGGATACAACAAACAAAATCTGTGCCATTGATTTTGTACTGAAGAAGTATCAATGGCGCAGATCAATGCTGGAACAAGCATTATGTATCTGTACCGTCATCTGCTCTAGGTCGGATGAGACCACGAAATTGTCTGCACCCAGCAGAGTTAGAGCTTCTTCTTTCTTCGATGTGCTCGTGCTGAAAACGGTCACATTTAGCCCAAAAGCCTTCCCAAATTTCACTGCCAAGTGACCAAGGCCACCAAGTCCAATCACCCCTAGAGATTTTCCGGGCTGGTTCATCTTGTGGCGAATCATCGGAGTGTAAACAGTGATGCCAGCACAAAGCAGAGGAGCTGCTGAGGCCAATGGATAGCCATCTGGTATCCGGAAGCAGTACCTATAAATTCAAGAACAAAATTTTACATCTTCCATCTGCTACAGAACTTGCAAAATTCTTTGAGCATCAAGCAACTAATTTTGTTCGAAAACAAAAACAACCAATTATGTAGTCATTTAGAAATCTGGACAGCAATTCTGCATGTTTCAAAAGGAAAGTGGAGAAAACTTGCCCTTGATGAGCAATAATGTAACTGGAAAACCCTCCCTGTGTAATTGTGCCATCCACATCAACATTGTTATAAGTAAAAACTGCGCCCTTTTCACAAAAAACTTCAAGGCCATCACCACAATAGTCACAGTTTCTGCATGAATTAACATAAGTTCCTATTCCAACATGGTCACCGACTTTGAAGCCATGAACATTGGAACCAACTTCTTGCACAATGCCAGCAATCTCATGTCTGTTACACAATCAATTGAGAACATTTTTTAGATTAATAACTGCTGGATGAGTTTAATTTTTGAGATTCGTTTAGCAGGTAGATTAAATCACATCCATTTAATGGTAATTATCGGGCCAAAAATGCCCTGGTAATAAATTACTATACATACCCGGGCACCATTGGATAATTTGCATTTCCATGCTTGTTCCTTGGAAAAAGCACATCAGCATAACAAATTCCGCAGTGTGTAATCTTTACGGAAACATCATCGTTTTGAAGAGACCTGAACAATTTGAATCCACTCAACCTAGCTAGTTCAACAACAAACTATCCAAGAACAATTTAGCTAGCCTAGCCACATGCAACCCAAGAATCATGAGCTCAATAGCATACCTTCGGCTAAACTTGTAAGGCGATAAAATTCCAGATTCATCTGTTGCAGCCCAACCCAAGCAGTCCCCATTTCCATTTGCACCAGTATTTTCAGAGCTCATGATTTTTAATTGTTCCAAATTAATATGTATGTCGCTAGGAAGAAGAAGGGCTACTTTACTTCAATGTGGGTGTGAGAGTTTTTGAAACAGAGTGGTAGTTTGAGGTACAAGAAAATGATCCAAGTTTTTGTGCTTTTTGGGTTTTTGGGTTTTAAGATAGACGCCCAAGCGTTGTGGACTATATAGACCAACGATGACGCAAGGGCATGCGTGATCATCACCTCTTACCCACGTACGCAGTGATGAGTTTCAACTTTCATGGGCTTACAAGTTATATGTGGGGTAAGAAGTTCTAGGATTTGTTTAATCTTCCCAGAGGGCTAGTACAATTTTTCTGCACAACGTGTGAAAGGGGTATGCTAGGGTGACCTTTTCTTTCTACCTTCTTTGTCTTTCTCTCCAATTTGCAATGTTGGACGATAAACGAAATCATTCATTTATGAGGTCGTTGGTCTTTGAAAAAGGAAAATCGATTAAATTGAAAATCGTTTAAGTCATTTGATTAATACTGTGATAATTCAATATTTAATCAAAACACTCAGTTCGTCTATTTAGTTGATAAAAATTAGATGAGTAAATAAATTTCAGTTTGGTTGAGTTTTTTAGAGAGAGAATTTTTAAATATGGTGACTTAGAAGATAGACAATTTTGATTACCAAATCATATTGCCGGAAGAGAACGAGACAAGAGAAGGTTCGGAAAATAGTAGGTGATGTGTCACTATCACCCATATGCATGAAAGTTCAACTTTTTCATGTCGTCAGCAAAACAGGAGGGAAATCAAGTGGGTGCTGTAGAACAAGATAAAGTAAAATAATAAATCAACCTCAACCTCAACCAATATACATATATAAATTATCTCACAAATGAAGGCTCAAAATAAGAATTAAATTGAACGCTGAAAGTCAACTCTTGATCAAGTCCATATCGTATGGAACTTTATTTAATATCATAACATCAACATACAACTCTAAATCACAAACACAAGGCTAGTACAATTTTTATGCATAATGTGTGCAAGGGGGAATGCTGGTGTTAATTTTTCCTTTGTTTCGCTCTTTCTAATACCTTCTTTATATTCATTTTCATCTGCAATGTTGGATGATAAGCGAAATCATTCATTTTCGAGGCCATTCTTCAAGGATTTATTTTATTTTATTTTATTTTATTTTAAAATCAACCAAATTAGAAATCGTTTAGTCATTCGATTAACAATCTTAAGGGCCTAGCAGATAGACTTTTTTCCCAATGAGAGAAGAGATGACTTCTTCACTTTCGGGTATCCATGAGGGGCTAGCTGTCGAAAACAAGGGAGCTTGGCACAGTCGCCTGAGAAACTACTTTTAGTCAAGGTCGTGGATCAGGAGAGAGGGAAGGATCGAACCATGGGAATGAATATACAGGGCTATCACCTTCTTTGGCCAGATCTTCCAACCTGTAATAAAAATTAAGTGAGTAAATGATTTTTGATATGGTCAATTTTTTATAGAGATAATTTTTAAATGGTCACTTAGAAGATAGACGATTTTAATGACCCAATAACATTATAAGATGAGAAAGAGGCTTGGAAAAGTAGCAAGTCAAGGTCACCCAAGTCAAATGGGTCTAGAACAATATAAAGTACAATAATAAACCAACCTCAACCAATATATTACATATACTTAGGGCACTTACAGCAGTTAGCCCATTGTCATGGCAAGGGGGGACAAGGGCAGCTACTATTCACGTGAATAGTGGCGCAGTTAGCCCATTGTCATGGCAAGGGGGGACAAGGGCAGCTACTATTCACGTGAATAGTGGCTGTCATTGTAAAAAGCTAAGTGTGTTTCCAGCAGTTGCCATGGCAAAGGGCAAATACTATTCATTTTTTTTGTTTTTTTTCACAAATTTGTTTACCTAAACAATTAATTTGGACAATATTTTCGGATAAAATTTTTCGGTTCGCACTTGTCAATACTTGAGTAAAAAGTGAATAATAGTAGAAGTAGAAGAAAATGTATGAGGATTTGGTGTTGAAAGTGAAGAGTTTTGGTAGGTATTTATAGAAAAAAATTACAGAATTTTTGGGTTTTTTTTTTTTTTTAAAATTTCAATTTTTTTCATTTTTTTATTGCACAAAAATTGGCTGCCGTTGGATTGGAGGAAAAATTCTGATCGTAGAGCCCAGAACGATATATATATATATATATATGTGTGTGTGTGTGTGTGTGTAATATTATTGTCTTAGAATGTGTTTTAAAACATTATAATTCTTGGTGTAGAGTTATTGATGTGGGTCATAGAGAGAAATATTTACTAATTGAAGGTGATAGTTTTCCTTTGCTTTGAGTTTGACGTGCAAGTCAATTGTGCAAGTCATCTTTTAAACTTGCAAGCTATTGGGATATTAATGAAAGATATAGTTGAGTCATTATTCTACTAGTACGTGTCTTCATAATATACGTTCTTATCTTGTAATGACTTGGAGTGGACAGAAAATTACTTGGGCACCAAGATTAAAACGTGCTGACTACTTAAGTGATGATAGAATGTTTATTCTAGTATAAATAGAAAGCTTACATTTACAAGTTGTTTACTACTACATATAGAGATAACATGTATACAATGTGATAGTTGTTAGAGAGGACTAAAGAGAGATGCAAGGAAAATATGTTATTGGAGGAGATAGAGAGCTTTACTTGTGGTTTACTAAATTGGATTTATGCTTTGAAATCGAGGTATGGATTTCTTTGGAGCCTTTAAGGGGATTGATTTAATTAAATTTCGTGAGCACTATATTATGCATGATATTATTATTTGATAGGCATAACTATATCATGTCATGGAAATTAGTTGGAGATGTTGGTTGGAGAAAATAATGACGGAAAAGAGGGTAATGGAAATAGTCTTTTGTGTAGTTGAGTCTAACTCTTGGCAGGTACCAGGTCTTAGGGATCTCACAGTGCACATGTTTTTATTGGGTGATTTGGGACTGGCGAAAGGGAGTTAGACAATATGACTAACAAAAGGGGAATTATGGGATGATTGAAATGGGTGTTAGTTCATATAAATGGGCATTCGGGACCAAGTGGTATAAGCATGGTATGGGACGTGCAGGTCTGCTTGTCCAGTTATATGAATTAACGGGATTAGATGATGAGCATTCATGCATTATTATTATTAATGTGATATTTGGTTGTGTGATTGCATGTCACTTAATTTAGTTATATCAATTTACTATGGTAAGGTCTCATGTCCCTACTGAGTTGTGGTTGCTCATCCCTCATCCTGTTTAATTTTTCAGATGAACTAGAGGGCAAGTCAAGGACTAAACCAACTGAGGCTGAATTAGATGAGAGTGATAGAGTTTTATTTATTAATTGTAAAGTTGTAAGATTTTGGAGTTATTTTTATAAGAAAAGTTTATTTTATGTTTCGGCTTCTTTTTATTTTATTTTACTTTTTATTTTCTCACGCATTGGGCCCGGGGTTTCCGCCTACCCCCGGGTCCGGGGCGTGACAGAATGGTATCAGAGCTCTAGGAATTAGATACCCTTGGGAACACTGTGGTTTAAACATTTGTGTTAGATAAACTTGAATTCATGAGTGACAAAGATTTTTAGGAGTAGATTGTCTTGGGTAAGATACTATAAATTTCGAGGAGAAATTTTTTTTAAGGAGGGTAGATTGTGAGAGTCCATATTTAAAAATTTTAAAAGTATTTATTAAAGAGGAATAAACATTATTATATATAAGTAATTATCTTGGATATATATATATATATATTGTTTTACGTTTATAGTAATTATAAGCATTTTATTTTATTAATTATTTTTATCTTTTTATATGTTGAATTGAATAAGAGGCTTTGTTTTAATATATATATATATATATATATGTGTGTGTGTGTGTAATATTATTGTCTTAGAATGTGTTTTAAAACATTATAATTCTTGGTGTAGAGTTATTGATGTGGGTCATAGAGAGAAATATTTACTAATTGAAGGTGATAGTTTTCCTTTGCTTTGAGTTTGACGTGCAAGTCAATTGTGCAAGTCATCTTTTAAACTTGCAAGATATTGGGATATTAATGAAAGATATAGTTGAGTCATTATTCTGCTAGTACGTGTCTTCATAATATACATTCTTATCTTGTAATGACTTGGAGTGGATGGAAAATTACTTGGGCACCAAGATTAAAACGTGATGACTACTTAAGTGATGATAGAATGTTTATTCTAGTGTAAATAGAAAGCTTACATTTACAAGTTATTTACTACTACATATAGAGATAACATGTATACAGTGTGATAGTTGTTAGAGAGGACTAAAGAGAGATGCAAGGAAAATATGTTATTGGAGGAGATAGAGAGCTTTGCTTGTGGTTTACTAAATTGGATTTATGCTTTGAAATCGAGGTAGGGATTTCTTGGGAGCCTTTAAGGGGATTGATTTAATTAAATTTCGTGAGCACTATATTATGCATGATATTATTATTTGATAGGAATAACTATATCATGTCATGGAAATTAGTTGGAGATGTTGGTTGGAGAAAATAATGACGGAAAAGAGGGTAATGGAAATAGTCTTTTGTATAGTTGAGTCTAACTCTTGGCAGGTACCAGGTCTTAGGGATTCCACAGTGCACATGTTTTTATTGGGTGATTTGGGACTTGCGAAAGGGAGTTAGACAAGATGACTAACAAAAGGGGAATTATGGGATGATTGAAATGGGAGTTAGTTCATATAAATGGGCATTCGGGACCAAGTGGTATAAGCATGGTATGGGACGTGCAGGTCTGCTTGTCCAGTTATATGAATTAACGGGATTAGATGAAGAGCATTCATGCATTATTATTATTAATGTGATATTTGGTTGTGTGATTGCATGTCACTTAATTTAGTTATATCAATCTACTGTGGTAAGGTCTCATGTCCCTACTGAGCTGTGGTTGCTCATCCCTCATCCTGTTTAATTTTTCAGATGAACTAGAGGGCAAGTCAAGGACTAAACCAACTGAGGCTGAATTAGATGAGAGTGATAGAGTTTTATTTATTAATTGTAAAGTTGTAAGATTTTGGAGCTATTTTTATAAGAAAAGTTTATTTTATGTTTCGGCTTCTTTTTTTTTTATTTTACTTTTTATTTTCTCACGCATCGGGTGTGGGATTTCCTTCTACCCCCGGGTTCGGGGCGTGACACTGTCGCTCGGGCCCCCTCCCCCTTCGGGCAGCCCAGGCTCGTGGACCCCATCACTTGCCCGGGCCAGCCTTCCTTGCTGGAACTTCGTTTTGGTCTCTTGGCCCCGCCCCCCCCCCAACCCGAGCCTAGGGGGCTGCTGGAAGTGGCCTTATATCTCTTGATCAAGTCCAAATCACATGGAACTTTATTTAATAATATCATAGCATCAAGATACAATACAAACTCATTCTTATTTTTTTTTTTTTTTTTTGGTTTAGTGCATTAATAAACCCAACAAGGGCAAGAAATACACAACTAGAACAGCAAGAGAAACAAATACAAAAGGAGGAGAATCCACTAGAACCAAGCTCCGACCTAGCTATCATAGCCTGTGTCCCGATACAAAAGTGACACAAAAAGTAAAAACCGAGCACACATTTATCTCTGTTTAATCCTTCTAAGTTCTAACAACAAACACAAAGCAGAAGTCCAAGGCCAAACACTTTCACATTGGTTTTCTTTGACTCGGCAACAATTTTGCTTGTCATTTGAGGGAGATTTCAATGTCTACCACAAACCGGTATTTCACACCCTTCTTTATGAGCCTCTCAATTGCTTCATTCACGTACTGAATTGGGATTATTTCAATGTTGGGATATATTTTGTGAGCAGCACAGAAGTCTAGCATTTCTTGCATCTCTTTTGTACCGCCTACTACGCTACCAGAAATCGATTTCATACCTGAAAAGTTTAAAGCTCAATGGATCATTAATTTTCTAAAAGAGTTGGATGAACTCTGGGGCTAAGCTAGATTTGTAAGTATATATCATCAAATGTATAAGTACTCAAAAGTTACATGGCTAAATATTTCTACTTAGTTAGGTTTAATTTGTTTTAGAGGGACCATTAACTTAAGTTACAAAATTAAAAAATTAAAACTCTGAGCAATGAAATTGGTAAATTACCCAGAATGAGGCTTCGAGGTTTCAATTTGACTTCATTTGGAGCCCCCACCATGACCAAAACGCCAGCAGTCTTCAGCAGTGACAAGTACAAATCAAATGAGTGATCAGCAGAGACTGTGTCAATGATGAAGTCGAGTGACTTAGCCAGGGCCTGCATAAATTCAGGTAATTAATAACAAAAATTACAGCAGTCAATATATATTTATAATTTCCTGGAATTTTTTTTATTTATAATTTCTACCGTCATCTGTTCTTGGTCTGATGAGACCACAAACTTGTCTGCACCAAGCAGAGTTAGAGATTCCTCTTTCTTTGATATGCTTGTACTGAAAACGTTCACGTTTAGTCCCAAAGCCTTCCCAAATTTCACTGCCATATGACCAAGGCCACCAAGTCCTATCACACCCAGGGATTTACCGGGCTGGTTCATCTTGTGGCGCATCATCGGAGAGTAAACAGTAATGCCAGCACAAAGCAAAGGTGCTGCAGAGGCCAATGGATAGGCATCTGGTATCCTGAAGCAGTACCTATAAATTCAACAACAAACAAAACTTAAGATTATGGGGACGTTTGGAATGGATTCCATAGGAAACATTTTTGCTCACAACCACTTTTGCTAGAGGAACACTTGAAGAAAACATTTTTAGTCATTTCAGAAGTCATCCCATACATGCTTATTTCATAAAAAAATTGAAATGAAAACTTGCCTATTTCCTTGAGCAATTAGGTCATTGTACTAACAAATTCCGAGTTTTTCTATTTCTAAACATGTATTTCATTTAATTAACCATTACAACAATCTAATTATTAGAGTCGGTGCCACAACTAGCCTAATCTTAACAGTTACGCTTTCACTAAGATTATGCTAGTTGATGTGACACCAAGTCTGAAGAATAAGGTTAGATTAAATATACCATTTGTAAAGGCAGAAGCTCGAGATCGAAAGCAAAAAAACAAGCGAATTTTAGTTTTGCAAGCAGGCGGAGATAATCTAAGTTAAAAATGGATCACTAATTAATTACCTTTGATGGACAACAATGTAAGTGGAAAACCCTCCTTGTGTAATAGTACCATCAAAATCAGGACGGTTATAAGTGTAAACTACTCCCTTCTCACAATAAACTTCCAGGCGCCCGTTACAGTAATCACACTCTCTGCATGAATTCACATAGGTTCCCACTCCAACATGATCACCAACTTTGAAGCCGCTCACATTGGAACCAACCTCTTGCACGATTCCAGCAATCTCATGTCTTTATATTTGTATACGTACGAATATCAATAAGAAAAAAATGAATTAAGAATTAATCCTATCATTATAAAATCATTAATTAATAATTAATTAATTAACATACCCAGGCACTAAAGGGTAGGTGGCATCTCCATGTTTGTTCCTCGGAAAAACCACTTCAGCATAGCAAACTCCAGAGTGTGTAATCTTTACGGAAACATCATCACTCTGAACAGCCCTGCATATTAATTAACAAATTAATCCATTCAGCAGCAACGCTGCTCATGTAAAGATGTCCCTCAAATAAAGTTATTTATAAAGAGATCTCTCTCGATTGAAACTCCCTCTATATATACCATCGGGTAAATTTGTAAGGCGATAGAACCCCAGAAGCGTCTCTTGCAGCCCATCCCAGACAATCAGTTGCATTTTCTGAGCTCATTGTTATCCATTATCTGATTTTTCTTTTAATTTTAATTTTTTTAATATGAAAAAGTGTGAATTTATCATATTAGCCTCATTTAATTAATAATTTCGATTCCTAATGTTCGCATTAACCAAGGGCATTTTCTAGTATTTTGAATGTTTTACTATTCTCTGCCTTTTGCTTTATATATATAGATAAATAGTATAGCCCCGGCTGTACTATATTTAAGTTTCATATTTGCAATTCTGTCTGAAGGTACTCTATCTTTCAGAGGAGGGATGATCTCCATATTTGACATGACAACATTTAAGGTAAACCCAACACAAATAGTATTCTTGAAATTTTCTATTCCCAACCAAAACTTCCCAAATCTTGTTTGTAAATATGTTTTGGTTCTGTTTGCAAATTTCTCATGATCTAACTCATTGTACTCATAAAATTCTGTTGCGTAAAAACGCAGACGATGAAGAAAGTCATGCCACCGCCACCGCCGCTTGCGGCAACATGTCTTGCTTTTCACTCCCGAGATGATGGTATAGTTGCTATTGGCATGGACAATTCCACCGTTGTAATATACAATCTCCACTCAGACGAGATAGTTTGTTTGTTCTTGTAAAAAACACATCATGCTCAATATTGTGATGAAGCAAACCCGAAAAGTTTGTCATTGCCTTGATTTATATATTTTGCAGTTTCCAAGGAAGCTTGAGGGTCACTCCAAAAGAGTGATTAGCCTTGTCTTCTCGAACACTCTGAATGTACTAGTTTCTTTTGGTGCTGATGCATATTGGAAACTACAATATTACTTTCAGACATGGCTTCCACTCTAATGTGACTTCTGTTATTTAACGACCTCGTTTTGGCCCTGCATATTTTTGTGTGGGAAAAATAGAGAAGCACATGCACCAACTAGAGATTGAGACTGCTCTAGGAGTGTATTCAAATGACTTTGGTTCATCCAAAGTAGTTCGTATAGATGGGTCTCAAGTGCAGTCAAATGACTCGAGTGCCCCGAGCGTAAGCTCCTACTGTTGTCACTCATGCGGTACAAGCATTGCATTGGCATCAGACCGTATTTGGACCTCTCTGATCGACTGACACCACGGCTTATTTCAAAAAGTGTAAGCTTCAGAAAACTATTTGATCAATTCACTGTTTTACGCTTTCTTAAGTTTTTTAGTTTTTCAATCTCCATGCAGGCTTACTTTGGAAGTGAAGAGTCAACCTGCATATCCTGATGATGCTATTTTAGTGGCACTGGAGGCCAAATGTGTAGTTTGCAAACTGTGTCTGGGATACAAGATTGAAAAACTGTGGGATCGTAGCATTATATTACCAAAGGAGGGCTAGTTTTTCCTTGACATGCAGAAGCTGGATGCCTTCATGCCACATGGAGTCTGGTAATTGTCTTTAATTTCTAGATTGTTTTATTCTAAATCACCTCGTTTTTCGTTTATGTGAAGTCATTTTTAAATTAAATTATTACATTGTAGAGTGTTTGAGAAGTAAATGCCCTCCTTTTTAAAAAGAAATAAAAATTGTGGATGACCGCTCTAGATCTCTCTTATATGACCAATTTGTTCAGATCAGTCCAAACTTGTTAGTACTGATTATACTGTTTAAAGGTCCGCATCAATCAACTTCTTTGCGTTTTTGATAAGAGTGCTGCTATTTCCACCCCCTTGTCTTATTTCCCCACCCATCTTATCTTCAAAAAATTTAAGACAAATTTACTCCTTTGTAAAATGACTTTTAAGGACTTAAAAAAAATATTTAATATTTAATATTTGACATTGAAATGATTTCTCCCATAAATCCATCTCTTTCTTTCTCTCTTCGAATGAACCCATCCCTAACAGCTCTCATCCTCTTCCCCAAACATCCCATCTCTATATGTTTTTGTTAACAAAGGGAGAAACTCACGAATAGGTGGAATAGTATTTTCAGCTAGCTCACGAGCTGAGACCTCAAAGAAGATAGGGACTAGGGATGGCAAAAATCCCCGTGGGGGCGGGTCCCCGTCAGGTCCCCAACCCTAACGGGGGGAGATTTCAGGGCCAAACGGGTATCGGGTACGGGGATCCCCGAACTTGAAAAATTCCCGACAGGTATGGGGAGGGGATGGTATTGGCGTCCCCATCCCCAAACCCGACCCGAAAATATATATGTTTATATTTAAATAAATAAATATATAATTATAATACTTATGTTTAACCCTAAGTTAACCTCCCTTTCCTAATTCTTGCTAATCTTCTTTGGATTTTCATATTTATGTGATTTTGAATAGTTCAGTTGAACTTTATAGTTAATTTGAATGTGTTGAATGATAATTTAATATGAAACTTAATGTTAAAATGTATGATAAATATTTTTTATGTAAAAAAAATCGGGGATTCGGGGCTATGATATTGTCATACCCGGCCCCTACCCGGCCCGTTGCCATCCCTAATAGGGACGAAACCAGCAAACTCAAGGCCAAGCAGAAGAAAAGTTTCGCCTATACGCCTCGCATAGCACTACTAAAAACGTCTCGCCTATAAGCCTCGCCTTTGAAAACATTGATCTGTATAATTGAAGTTGGTTTCTACAATTTCAGATCTTGTATCTTCCGTAGGTTCTGAGGCTCTTCTTTCACAGGTTTCAGGGTTACAAGGTTTTGAAGATGATGAACAACCTTCAGAAAATGATTTACATCAATGATCTTATATGTTGTCCAGCAGAAATGACCAGCAAATCATCTGAGTATCTATCAGCATCTCTGACCGCAAGATCCTCTGCGATAACATCATTTCCAAATCCATCCATAACATTATAAGAAGATGCATGAATGCATATATGTAAGCATCGTAGAAAGAACTTACCAATAAATTGAATTAATCGACGACTTATATAACTAGCCAGTGTCAATAGACGGGTGAAAATGTCATCCATTGATGAGTAGAATCCCAGACTATCAAAAAGAAGACTTGTGTTCCACACAGTATCATATTAGATCTTTAAGCACAAGGACTGGATCAAACTGACAAAACTAAAGATGCCAAATTGAAACTTCAAACCCCCATAACCTTATTCCTTATGTGGGCTAACATAAAAAAGAAATTAAAAAAATCGATAAGCTAATTATAATTTATTCGCTAATCTTGATCAAGAATAAGAAAGTTGCAATAGAGAAGAGATACAACAAACATACAGAAAAAGTAGAGATAATTTGCAACAATGCACAATCGTAAAGTTGAAAAGTACTCACTGCGAGAGGCATTTCAGATATTTCATTTTCAATATAGACATCGCCCATTAATTCTTCGAATCCTGAATTATGCAACAGAACTATTAAGGTGATACAACAAGACAACTTAACAGGACGAAACTTCGACACAATCAGTATATAACAATAAGAACCCAGATGAGTAAATCAATCATATGATGAGAAAAACACAACAAATCAACCCCATTCTTTCAACATACTGAACTTAAGGAACTCATCATCAAAACAAAATGTAATAAAGCTATCAGATAGCAACTTACAGTTAAAGAAGGACAATCTGCAGAATCCAGAAACAGCCTGTGGCTCAGCAGAAGCAAAGCCAATTTAATTTACAGCGGGAAGAAGAGAAGGAACAAAAATCTGCAGACCCCATTTCCAAGGAAGTTTAAACTTGCTAAACATGAGCTGCCATAATTTTGAATCCCATCAATAAACATAGAAGAAAATGAAGTGAAAGAATAGATCAAAAGAAAGTGGCTGCAGAAATGTGTCTGCAATGACACAATATTGCTGGGTCAAAAGGTGGTGCATCTGATACAGTTCTTGCTCGAAATATCGGCTTCAATGAAGAAAATAGCACATGTACCTGGAAAAAATGCGACAGACCCACCCTGGCACCCAGACCCACCTAGAGCTGCCTAGAGCCGCCTAGCGCCACCTAGCGCCGCCTAGCGCCACCTAGCGCAGCCTAGACCCGCCTAGCGCAGCCCAGACCCTCCTAGCGCCGCCCTTACCCGCCCAGGCCGCCCTGGCCCATTTTTTAAACCTCTCCCGACGACTCTTCGTCCACACAGCTATTCCTATCCCATGTGGGATTCCTCTTGGTTTTCTTATCATACTTGGTATAGGACTATATCTGTAATATTGTATAAATCAATACAATAAGCCCTCATGATGATTGAGGCTTTACCCTATACATTCCAATTCTTTCAGCCAGGAACGTAACGGCAAAATTGAAAAATCGGCCGCCTAGGCGGGCTAGGCGGTTCCCTTTTTTTTAAACAAAATAAAATAAATTGTATAGCCGCGCGGCTATACTATATTTAAGTTTCATAATAGCAATAAACCCGCCAGGGAAAAAAAATCTGGAAAAAAAAAAACGCCGTTCAAGTTTTCGAAAAATGGGCGGGCTAGGCGGTTCCTTTTTTTTATATTTTATAATAAATACGGCTATACTATATTTAAGTTTCATATTTGCAATTCTGTCTGAAGGTACTCTATCTGTCAGAGGAGGGATGATCTCCATTTTTGACATGAAAACATTGAAGGTAAACCCAACACAAATAGTATTCTTGAAATTTTCTATTCCCAGCCAAAACCTCCAAAATCTTGTTTGTCAATATGCTTTGGTTATGTTTGCAAATCTCATCGTACTCATAAAAATCTGTTGCGTAAAAACGCAGACGATGAAGAAAGTCATGCCACCACCACCGCCGCTTGCGACAACATGTCTTGCTTTTCACTCCCGAGATGATGGTATAGTTGCTATTGGCATGGACAATTCCACCATTGTAATATACAATCTCCACTCAGACGAGGTAGTTTGTTTGTTCTTGTAAAAAAACAAATCATGCTCGATGTTGTGATGAAGCAAACCCGAAAAGTGTGTCATTGCCTTGATTTCTATATTTTGCAGTTTCCTAGGAAGCTTGAGGGTCACTCCAAAAGAGTCACTAGCTTGCCTTCTCGAACACTCTGAATGTACTAGTTTCTTCTAGTGCTGATGCATATTGGAAACTACAATATTACTTTCAGACATGGCTTCTACTCTAATGTGACTTCTGTTATTTAACGACCTCGTTTTGGCCTTGCAAATTTTTGTGTGGGAAAAATAGAGATGCAAATTGTTGCAGATTCTAGATGGGAAGGAGTTGAGATCATTGTCAGATACTTACATCCAAATTCACTAGAATGAGCTGCACCTCCTTGCCATAAACAAGACTCACCTTGCAGTATATGAAGTGAAAGAACTAGCATATGTTTAGGGGGAAGGAAGTGTTGCGTGTTTAGGGGGAGAGGAGACTACCCCATCCCAAGGTCAGGGCATACCAAGGCCTCTTTGAGGAACCATTTGGCTTTTTAATTCTTCACTTCGAAATTAAAAACAAAAGGCACCCAAAAAGGGATCAGGCCACTCAATGATTCACCATGATTTTAGCCCGCATATTTTACAATTGATTTCAAGAAAGATAAGGTTCTTTTTGAAAATTCTGCAAGCTAAGTATTCTTCAAGTGGTCACACTATCTCTAGGAGGTTTTCCCTTAGGAATGACCGTCCGGTAGTTGCGACATCACAAATGTAAAACAGAGATGAGAGGCCTGCCACCTTTTTGGCTTTGACCTGCAATCATCTCCTGATTCGCTTTTATATGTGTTGTTGCATAAGGAACCTGTTGTGTCGAACTTTTCACATGGGCACTCTACCATCCTCGCCAAAACAAAACTGAGCATGGCACATCATTGTGCTATGGTGTTTTTGTATTCCTTGCAAATTCTCCTTTGCATATAGAAAATGAACCATCAACGTAACTAACAGAGGGGATAAAAGATCAAGAGTCCTAAAAATTCCGAGAAACGGATCTCCTTGTAGAAAGGTCCTACTGCTGAAGCAGCAAAATGCATACATCATGTGATTAACTTGCATATTAGATGTAAATATCAAATGCAAAGCAAGGCAAAAAGTAAATGAAATCAGCAAAAGACAATATCCATGGATGCATCTAACAAAACATTAGCTTATTTGTTTTGGTTGTCAAATGGCTACAGCATTCCTAAGTTATTACATACATTTGGCTCTTTACAGATTAGGTCAGTATTAAAATTCCATTATTGATTTCGGTTCATCATCATATCACATTAATCCCACCAGTTTTAACTCAAAGTTTATTCTCAAGTCTCCATTAAGGTTGCACCAAATTTCAGTTTGTATATTTCTTTATCCAAAAGGATCCCAAAATTTGCCTCAAATATTTGATATGTAGACAAGTTCGTATAATTCCAAATGTATATACTTGTATAAAATACCTATGTAATTTGAATATGAACTGTATGCCATACGACCAATTGCATTGAAGAGCCAATCAAAGGATTTAGCAGAAATAACTAGATTCAAAATTAAATCTTGCTAAACCTCAAACAGTATTTCTTTGGTCTATAGGATTAACTTCTTGTACCGGCATTAGTAAAGCAGGGCAATTTCTACTCTTATCAAACTCATGAGATCAGAAGTCACATAAACTGACTACCAACACCTCAACTACAGAGGGACCTATATTCAATTAAGAAAAACCTATATTGCCAAAAGACAAAATTATGAATAAAGATGCTTAATATTTTATTAACACAGGAAAGAATCATAATTTCTATATGAATAACTAACACTGCATTCTATAATGCATTAAGTTACCAAACATACATGCCAGCTAAAAAACAGGAGAAAAAAAAAAGGTAAATCTTGATGCTTGTTAGATTTCTCCTCTCTTTCCTTTAGAAATTGAAATTGGAGCGATATTGATTGAATGCAGGCAACTCCCAAGGTTCACCCTAATTTATGGAAACCAAGGAGTGGCTTAGAGCTGATGAACAATGACCTTCCCAGCACCAACCCTGAAGAAGAGGCTATGTCCTGCTTTCATTTGTCCAAAAAGAATTCAAATCTCATTTCATCAACAGGAGGGATGATGATCACCATTTTTGAGTATATGCAGAGATGCTAGACCCGCAAGGAAAAAAGAAATTTTTTTATAAAAAAAAAAGCCATTCAGGTTTTCGAAAAATCAGCCACCTAGGCGGCCTAGGCGAGTTCTTTTTTTAATTTTATTTTAATAAATAGTATAGCGGGCGGCTGTATTCATTTTTAATTAATTATATTATTTATAGGGTGAAGCTGCCGGCTATACTTATTAAATTTACTATTTAAATAGTATAGCCGGGCGGCTATACTTATTTAATATATTATTTACAGCTTATATTATGCACAGATCCGAACCCAAGCAGATTCTTTTGTGTTAGTTGGTAGATCCTCATCAATCATCAAAGTTCTTTTTTCTTTTGTTATTTGTGTGATTTTTTTTTGTGTGTGTGTGTATGCGCCACCTGTCAAGCCCCCAACAAAGCACATGTAGCAATCCAATGGCTGTTTTCAAATGGGCTGGTTGCACATATTAATTATTAATTCTTTTTGTAAGTCATATATGAAACAAATGTGAATGTGTTCTGAAATAGGAAAATTTTATTTTTCTAAAATTTCAATTATATTTATGTCAAAATGTTCAGAAAAATAAATCACGGAATTATAAACAAAAATTAACCACAAAAAAAATATAGAGTTAAATCATTCTTTAACAATTTAATATGGGTGTGGGGTCAAATTTTGAGTCAGGCAATACATGAATAGTTGTATTTTGGATGGTGAAAATTTAAGTTTAGCCCCAAATGGGTTGGAGAATGCCTAAGCATGGGAACAATTAATATTTAAGTTTCAGATTTTGCCCTTAAAATGTTTCGGTAGCTTCTAGCTTTGTCTCTGGCAATGCAGATATCAAGGGTGGTCTACACAAATGATGGTGATGCCATTTTGGTGTATCCACTTGTTTTGGCGGCGCATCCACAAATAGCAGCCCAGTTTGTTGTGGGGCTCTCCAATGGCGAGCTCCATGTCCTTGAGCATCTGGAAGATGAAGATAAATAAGGTATTTTTGCCGTTGGTTGACTTGGTAGCAAGTTGGAGAGTTGCGAGCCTGTGGAATCCGAGGGCATCGTCCTTGGCTTGTGATCTCTAGATAATATAGGCCTAAACATAATAATAACTGATCTCTAGATAATGTATGCTATGTAGTTCATTTGCTGCAGCAAATTTTATAAATCTAAAATCAATAATGTTATGGATCCTCAACAAAATAAATTCAAAAGTTTCTTGGAAAATTTGCAGCCATTATTTCTTTAAGTTTCAACTATTCTTTCTTGCGCACTTGGTCTCTCTCTATGATTGATCTTGACCACATTTCAACAGTCATTTTTTAGCCAAAACTCACCAATCTCTCTTTCACAATTTCATTCTGGTCAAGCTAAAAATTATAGACGACAAAGAAGAAAATAGTGGAGACAATTGATCGGGATCATTAGTTATAAGTTTAGGTTTGAGTGGGATTGAATCTCTAAGAGAAATTAAAGATAACCCAAAACATGATCTGATCTGCAACTAATAAAAAATTGGAGGGCATCCATTATTTATGTCAATCTACAAGCAGGGGAACCCTATGAGGGTTCATGAAATGCATATTTACTTGAGTTACACGTTACAGTCAATTTGACGAGAATTAAATTGCTGGATGTCTCAAAGGAGAATACATCTTCAAGCATCTACCTTTGCTGCCGCAGATGTGTAACTTACAATTGTCCCTCATGGTTTTGCATTGACTCGTCTGCTCATATCAGAGAAATTTGATCTTTATGCTCGTTGAACAGTTCTTCAGCATCTGAATGCATTGAAATATGATTGAAAGGGATGAAATAATGATCAAAACCAATATTCTAGATGCAGTTGA